GATATACCACTGTATAAAGAAATGGCCCTTTTCAGTGAGGAATCTCTAGGGCTACAGGTTCGGCAAAAGGTTGCCATAGCCAGAGGACCCAGAAGGGTCCTCATACTATAGAGATGGACACCACCAGAGGCCATCCTGGTCTTCCCAGAGATCACTATCTCTCCAATCACACCAAACCTCAGATTTGACCAAGGGGGTCTTCCCAGGGATTCATACAACATGCTGCTCCTATGCACCTTCTTGTCTGACCGCTCCAGGACATTGCGAGTTCGATCCTTGTCCCGCTGCCGAACCCGCTCGGCGAAGGCATCACGTTCCTCCAGGTCCTGAAGGCGCTCTCGCTCAGTCCGCTCCCACTCATCCTCCGACTCTGGCTTCTCAGTCTGCTGTTTACTCCCCCTGCAGTCCAGCCCAAAGGATTACATAAGGCCTCCTAGGAAGCTTATCAAGCCCCCTCATCCTCTGTTCCATCCTTTCTCATCCTGCTTCTGACTTACCCTGCCTTTCGCTTCCCTTTCTCAGAAATCTTTTCCTCATCTTCTTCTTCCTCCTCATGACATTTCTTCCTGAGGTGTTTTCGTTTTTTACGCTTCTTCTGGAGACTGCTCCCGGCTCTACCTACAGTCTCCTCACTGCTCTCCTCACTGTCTTCCAGCAATTTATAGGATCGGTTCTTCTCCAGCAGGGCTCGGGCCTCTCGCTCAGCCACCCGAGCAGGCTTCTCTACCACTGCCTTCCGTGGTACCTATCAGAAGGGAAGACAATGGGATATGAGCAACTCCTGATCTCTGCCAACCCACTCTGCCCCATTCCGAATTTAAGGAATGACCTGATCTTGGGGCGCTTGGGTGGCTCAGTAGGTTAAGCCTCTGCCTTCGGCTCAGGTCATGGTTCTAGGGTCCTGGGATCAAGCCCCGCATCGGGCTTTCTGCTCAGCAGAGAGCCTGCTTCCCCTCCTTTCTCTCTGCCTGCCTCACTGCCTACTTGTGATCTCTCGCTGTCAGTTAATAAATTTAAAATATAATCTTTAAAAAAAAAAAGGAATGACCTGATCTTAAACCAGCCTTCACTGTCTCTTTTCCCCATGGCTTCACACCATGTTCATCAACCTGAATTGGGCCTCTCAGCTTTGAACCTCCTTGCAGTCATTCACTTAGCAAACATTTACTGAATGACACCTTTAAAGCCAGTAATGCCTGATCAAGTCCTTCTCCTGCTGCACTGCTCTGACACTGACTCTCCTGCCCACTTTCACTCATAAGAACCCACCAAATAACTCAGGATAATCTCCCTATCTCAAGATCCTTAACTTAATCACATCTGCAATTTTTTTTTTTTTTTTTTTTTTTTTGGTCACGTAAAAAAACTGTCTGATGCATCAGGTACCTACCTCCTAGGGACCAAGGACACAGAAATAAACAAAAGACAACAATCCCTGCCTTCATGGAGTTTATTTTACATTCTCAAAACCAATTCTCAATTGTTCAGCCTCTGTGCTTCCCCATAACTAAGCTATCCCTATGCAAGAACTGATATGCTATAAGGATTGGTTTGCAGAAGCCTGGCACTGTACCAGATTCCAGGATACATGCTAAACAGATTTACATAAAGTCTTATCCTCATACCACTTAGGTTCTAAACTCATCTCCCACCAGGCACCATTTGTGACATATGTGACAATTAAAGCAGGCTATATGCCATTCTGTGAACATGCTGGACACTTTCACTCTTCCATATGCTTAAATAAGCACCTGTTCTGTAAGGTGCTGTCAGGTGGGAGAAATACAAAGACAAGAAATACAGAGTCCTGTCCTCCAGGAGCTCATCTTTACAGCTTTATTCCTAACCCCTTCTCTACCAGACAGATTTTGGGGAATCTTTGGGCTTCCTTCCCCTGAGCGCTACCCCTACCTTCTCTGCCCTTCCACAGCACTTCTCACACATCTTTTCTACTGCCTCATTATTCAAAGCGTAGCCTGTAGACCATCGGAATCACCTGGAAACTAGTTAGAAATGCAAAAGCTAAGATCCCATCCCAAAACTACCTAATCGGAATCTACATTTTAATAAGGGTCCTGGATGAGTCGCATGCATATTAAAGTTCGAGAAACACTGCTCTATAACACTTAACCCTCCTTGAACTTCTCCCCAGAACTGGACGTCCAGCACCTAGCACAGTACCCAGGCGACAGTGGACAAAAGTTAGGTGCTTGGGTACTGAGATTACTTAATTCTCGGAAGGACAGTTAGCCCAACCTCACCTGGACAAATAACCTGAGGCCCCTGCCCTGCTCCACCTCCTCCCCCGCCGCTCCCACTCTTGGCCCCGCCCCACCCCGCCCCTCTCGACACCTTGTTCCAGAGCCTCAGGGCGAAGTCCCGGGCTGGTCCGCTGAGGTCCAGGGTATCGGTGTCTCGCAGACGCTGCACAAACTCCTCGGCCGAGGCGCAGCGCTGCGCGGTACCAATTAGGAACTGCGCTACATGCCGCTCGCTCAGCCCCAGCACCGAGTGCAGCTCGTCCTGCACCCAGCGTTCCAGCCCAGCCGGCGTCGCCATGGTGACCCACGCTGCCGGGTTCCTGGCCCTGAACTGTTTCCAGTAGTCACGCTGGCGGCTGGGGCCGTCGGAGGCCTGGAAGCCTGGAGCCCTGGGATGGAGTCTGAGTTCCGCGAAGGACCTGCCTTAGAACCTTGGGGTTCGGTTTCCAACAGCCCGAAAACGTCTTCCAGAACCGCGAAGACCGGAAACGGCCTGCCATTTCCGTCTTAAGCACTATGGTGGCCGAGCGAGTTCAAACTTCACGGAACCTCACGTGAAGCTCGGGGCAAAACGTTTCATTTCCGCTTCCACTAAGTCTCTCTGTCGCCCTCTGATGGCTAGTCTGGATCCCTCGCTTATTCATTCATTCAACAAATGCTGTGTGCTAAGTACAATTTTAGTCGCTGGGGATATGGCAAAGAACTAATCAGACAAAAACCCCTTACTGAAGCGGGTGGGGAGACAAGATACATAATAAATAAAACCTGTAAGTCCTATGGAGCCAAATATAATGCAAGGTTTGTGTGTGTTGTGGGAGATAATATCTCAAGTTGGAAGGTTAGGTCCGTGCTGATGAAGGATTGGCCCATGCTGTTTGGGAGTACCGGCACCTGCGGCAGGAATGAATACAAGTTAGACGTAACCAAGGACCTCCAAGCAGGAAGAAACAGGATCTGGGGGGAAAAAACAAAAGTGCCCTCTTTTCTTGGTGCTCTCAGAAAGTTATCTTTTAAAAAAGATTGTATTCATTTATTAGAGAGAGTGAGCACCAGTGGGGTACAGGGCAGAGGGAGAAGCAGACTCCCCACCGAGCAGGGAGCAGGGAGCCGGATGACCTGAGCCGACTGAAGCACCCAGGCGCCCCAGAAAGTTATTTTTAAAAACCTCCAAACTGGGGCGTCTGGGCGGCTCAGTCGTTAAGCGTCTGCCTTCTGCTTGGGTCATGATCTCGGGGTCCTGGGATTGAGCCCCGCTTCAGGCTCCCTGCTCAGCGGGAAGCCTGCCTCTCCCACTCCCCCTACTTGTGTTCCCTCTCTCGCTGTGTCTCTGTCAAATAAATAAATAAAATCTGTAAAGAAGAATAAGAAAAACCCCTCCAAACTAAGGAATATGTAAACTATGTTCTGTGTTTTTGCTAACAGCTTGATTAATTCACTGGTGATGCTTATTTAAAAATAAGCAGAGCTTATTACCTTACTCTCTGCTTATCTGATGTTGGTTTGACCCTGCTTCATACTTCTATGAGTAATTGGACTTACCAGACACTTACTGTTGGGAAATAAATATTGCTATTCCAACAACCATAGCATTGACTCCTTAGCATTTACTTCTTAGATGCATTGTTTTCTGTTTCTGAGATGGACTGTGGGCAGCCCTGGCATCTCAGAGCTTTCTGCCTCTCTGGTTTCCTGGGTGGTAACTGATTAGGATCTTTACCTAATTAGCTACTAATGTAAGCATTGTTTCCTTCCATACTAATACCCTCTCTAAACTGGCTCATTGTTTAACACCTTCATTGTTCCTTTGCTAGTAAATTAAAGACTTCGGTATATGTTTAAGATCAATTTGTCTTACTTATTTTATATTTAGTAAAAGGGAGTCTCTTCTGACTAAGCTGAGAAAGTTCCTGTAGTGGTAGGATTATAACTACTCAAACATGTCTTTACTACCCTAGCAAACTGGGAAAAAACAAAACAAACAAACAAACAAAACAAACCCTGATAAGTGAACTATAGATCTGCCACATTTGTAGAAGAAAGAAATTCTTTGAAATGGGAAAATCTCCCAGTGAACTATAGTTGGGCAACAAAGCCGTAAATTATCAATGGTTCTTAATTAAACCTTGAGAAATATAAAACCCATGGTCTCTCAGAGACTGTTTTTCAGGAAACTGCCCTTCTCTACATACACTATATTTTGCAGCAGTTTTAGACTTATTATTTATGGTCCTGAGTCTTGGAGTAAATTCCCCTAGATTAGCGATTCTTATACACTAGTTAGTGTAAGCTGGCTGCTTCTAGCAGGCTTCTAAATAGTAGAATCCTTCAATTCAGCGTGTCCTCTGCTTCTAGTATTTTAGCTTTTTTCATCTATTCATATATTTGTTCAGTCATTCATTCTGGTAATAACTCTGCAAGTGCACTAGGAGTAATTTTGCAAGGCATGGGGATGCCTCATTAAACCCCGCTGAAATAGTCTGCTCTTGTGGCACTTCCAGCTTAGTGGGTTCCTCCTACCCTTCCTCAAACCAGTCCTTTTCCTGCCAGTCCTTTGAGAAACAGGTATGGGGCTCTCCCGAGCCCTTTCTTTATGTCAATGCTGAGTAGCTGTTTCATCCCCATTTTTCCCTCCCGCAGCCATGGCCACTACCTCTTCATGGCCAGTGGGAAGACGGGAGAGGAACAGACAGCCTCCCCCACCCACACTTTTTTTCTAAAGAAAGAAAAGCAGCAGGAGAGTTGGAGAGAACTCCATTTTATTAAGGAAAACTTAAAAAACAAACAAACAAAACAGGCAGTTGATAAGGAAGGAGAAATGGGGAAGAGGTGCCTTATTAGTCATCCCTCACCCTTGCAATTCAATTCAGTTGTGGACCACTGGAAGGAACAGAATTAAATAATTAGATGGGGGGTACAGGGCTAAGATCCCCAGCCTTCCTTCTTGGGGAAAACTGAGGTACAGTAATACTGAGCAAAAGTGGAGGAAGCCACACCCCCAATGAGGCAAGCGCCAGGGACAAGGGAGAGGGTTCCACATGGACTCAATAAGTAGGTGTGGTTGTAAACCTGGGACTTTGACAGGTGGGGCAGGCAGCTAATGGGGTTTGTAAACCAGGCTGGTGGTCAAGAGAGGAGGCAGGAGGTATAAACAAAGGGGCAGTGGCCTACAGAATAGGAAGGAGAGGGGCTTGTAAATGGAGTGGAGGCAGGCTGCCCAGGATGAGTGCTTAAATCCTATGAGCCCCCAGGGTATGGTTGGGAGTCAAGGAAGCTGAAGGGAGAGGATAACCCACCCATGGAGGTGGAGGAGGTACTCCACCTCCAGCCCCAGTGAGTGCTATGATCCTCCTCAGGACTTGATGCTCACGTTTGAATCATCTAGGATGCCATCAGCACATCTGACACACTCAAACCAGGGACCTTTGGTGAGGGTGGAAACTGGGAGACTAGCTCTGCCCCCAAAAACAGGATGAGGAAAGCAAGTTGGAAGATGTCAGTTGCCCTTCCCTGCCAAGCTCATTTTCAGGGTCTCTCTATTCTCAGTCTTCTGGGCTCCAGGATCTTCAGTTCCTTCCAGTTGAAAGAAGGTCACCTCCGACAGGACTCATCTGTGGGAGAGGAAGCAATAATGGTAGGGAACGAGTGAGGGCCTCCTACCTTCCCCACTTACCCTCCACACTGAACGTAAGGCTTACAATATCCTCCACGCCAAGTGCTTGCTACTACAGTAACAGCGGCCATCACTCATGTGGCTTGCATTCTGTGTCAGGCATTCTTACAACTCTTTTAATCACACAATAACCCCAGATAGAGCGAAGTAATTTGATGTCCAGCCAGAGTTCCAAGATGCTTCATAAAAATTAAAGAACCCTCTCTGGAAACCCCAGGAGGTGGTTATTATCAAACGCATTTCAGAATTAATAAACGGAGGCCAGAGGTCAGGTGATTTCCTGGAGGTTACATACACCACAGGTAAGAGACAAGATGGAATTCAAATGCAGGCCTGTTTGATCCACACCCTGTGTTTTTAACCACACTACTGCGCTCAGAAAGATTCTTAGTTTTGAAATCTGGAGAGCCCCTGTGCATCTCACTTCCCGAGACCTCGATTTCCCCATTTGTAAAGGAGTGGGTGGGGCTAGAGGTCCCGTCAAGCCTCTTCGAAGCGCCAACATTAATTCCTCCCTTTCCCTCCCGGACCGCAGTGCCCATTCTGAGCACCAGGGGGTGCCCTCGGACAGGCGGAGCCTCAGCTCACCCACGATCAGGGCCTTGGTGCGCAGCCCGCCCTGGAGCTCCCGCTGGAGCAGCAGCAGCTCCTCCTCATCCTCCTCGTCGTCGGGTTGTGCCGCTGGGGGGCTGGAAGCACTGGGAGTCTCAGGCTCCGGGCCCAGCTCCTCCAGCACCGAACTCTCGGAGGGGTATTGGTACGTGGTCTCCAATGCTGTCTCGCTGAAGGAGATCTTGAGCTGAGAGTGGGAGAGAACGGGGTGCGGTTGGGGGGAGGCCCAGAGTTTAGTACAGAGAGGCGCCCAGGGGAGCAAATGCAGGGGAGGGGGCTGGATTTGGGCACCCTATTGACTTTGCCCGAGGTTCCAGGGGTCCAGTTTTCCTTTTGATACAGGCTCTCTAATCCCATAATTTCCTTCTTCTATCTTATTTCCAAAACATCAGACTTTGGCTTGAGCTTGGGCAGAGGTGGCAGAAGTGATTAATACTGGACTTGGGTCCCAACTCTTTAGACTGCGGGTGGTGGAAGGATAAAAAGAATTGAAAATATATGGAGATAACTCCTGTAATCAGAACTGACTCTTTGGGCATCGTGAGGGGAACCAGGAAGGCTTCCTGGAGGAGGAGGAAAGTTTGACCTGGCAGGAAGTAGCTGGCTGGAGGCAGTCCCAGGCAAAAGCCAAGCCAAGCCATTAGTTTCCACACCCTCAGCCCCTTGAAGTTCCTGAGGAAACTCCGGACTCTGATACTGGGGCCCTCCTGCTCCCCTCACTCTTTTCCTATAGCTGGAGTGGACCAACAACAAAGTGGGGCTGGGGCCTGGGAGGGAAGAAGAGATCTACCAAAAGGCCCAGAGGAAACCAGACTCTCCCCTAACACACAGGGGAGATGGGCCCTTGAGTCCCTGAAAGGTACAGCTAGGCGAGGTGACAAGGGCAGAGAGGAAAGTCCATGCAAACACAGATTGCAGTGGAGAATGCACCAGGAAAGGCAAGCAGAGACAGAGGCAAAAGGCCAGAGGGGACCTGGAGAGGGCAGAAAATCCATAAACACACTGTCCCAAGAGCAGGCGAGGCCCAGCTGTTCTCAGTGCCTTTCTACCCTTCCCCTTTGCCCTTTTAAGAAGCTCAGGGGGCAGGAGCAGAGTGGGATTACCTCTGAGAGCCAAGGCGATTAAGGAGACAAACAGGAGGATTCCCTGTGAACTACTTGGAAAGGTCCAGATGATCTACTCAGGCCTTCCCAGGCACCTGTTTGGGAAACTCAGGCCTTGGGCCCTGCATCCTTGTCTCCACATGGGCTGGGATGTGAGAAGAGAGCAACTGGGGTGGGGGGGTGGGGGCTGGACAGGTGGATGCTAAAGCTGTAAGGAATGTGAAACCTGGGTCCCCAAGGGAAGCTGGAACTCAGAGACTCCTTGGCTCCAAACCATGCACTGGCTCATCTCACTGGGAGGAAAAGCTAGAGCCTAAGGCCCACAGGGTATTTCCACTGTGACACATCCCACCTCACCTCTCAGGCATCTGCTCCCACTCTGGCCACCCTCGTCAAGCCCACCAAGGACACTCCCGTCCTGGGGCCTTTGCATTGGCTATTCCTTCTACCAGGAACGCTCTTTCCCCAAATATCCCCGTGGCTCCCTGTCTCCCAATCACCCTATTTGAAGTTCATATTCACTCCCCCAACTTTCTGGCCCTCAAGGTTCCACTTACCCTGTTCTAACCACCCACCGCCCTTAATCATTTACCTACCACCTTCTAATGTACCAGAGAATTTACTTATTTGTGATCTTTTGTCTGCTGTCCCTAAGAGCATGAAAGTTGCTACAGGGAGTAAGGAAGGGTTAGTCCAGACCTCAGAGAGTGGTCCCCACAGAGAATCAACACTGGGGAACAATGTGGGAGGCACACAGTCTGTGGAACTGCTGGTAGAAATGAGTGACAGCAGCCAGACCCCTTACATTCCAGCTGTTCAAAAGGGACCACTTCTGGTTCTGTTACTGACAGATTTATTCAGACTTCTGGGGACCCATTTGTTTTCTTTTCACATCCCCTTTTGGGATAACAAGCTCCACAATTTATTATCCACTCTGAAAAAGGATTCATTTTATTTGCTATCAGTCATGTTTGTCTTTCTTCCCCAACCCTGCTTCTCTTCTGAGCCCCCTCCACCCCTCACCCCCGACCCCAACTTCTGACTGGGCTTCTCAGGAATGCACAGCCTGCATGGGAGTTGGGGGTGGGGGTGGGAGGAGACAGAGGGGTGTGACTCACTTGCTCCTCTCCCATCAGCTATATAAAGTCACAAGGGGACCAGAGAGGGGAGGAGCCCATCTCTGGGCCTTTAGGGAAGGGCACCAGCCACAGGGCAGGGCTGGGATTTCTCTCCCGTGGCAAGGATATGTTTGATGGCATTAGCTTGCAAACAGAAGTTATGGGGGGGGCAGTCCTCTGGTCTCCCAGCAAGTGGGTTGGGTCAGAGCTGGGACAAGGCATGCTAGTCCCTGCTGAGCAGGGTGCAGAGAGAGGGAAGGAGGCCTGAGACAGGGTGGAGGGGGAGGTGTCTGGGTCTAGAAAACTCTGTGCTGCTTCTCCCCACCCCCACTCCCAGAGCAGCCAGGGCTTCCTTATTCTCTCACCACATCCTGAGCGGTTCTGGCAGGCCCAGGGCCCAGCGGTTCCCCACTCAGCCATACCAGCCTTCCGGCCCCCACCCCAGGCTTCCTGTTTGGGTGATCTGCTTCCGGCTCCCCTACTCCCTGACCTAGGTAGGGTCACTACCAAAGGTCCTGCCCTGCACTCATATGGGCCCCAGCTTTGGGCCCCAAACTTCATGCCTCCCTCTGCTCTTCCTCCCCAAAGGCACAGGCCAACCTCAGTAGGAAGTGACTTGTCTGAACACCTCATGCTGGCAGTTCCTGACCTACCTCCTCTCATCGGCCCAGCCCAAAGGGGAAGGGGCTGGTAGCAGTCAGAGTGCTCAGGACAGACTCAGGTACCACGGCTCAGGGGTAGGAGCCTGAGCTCCACATGAAGATGAATTGGGGGAATCAAGTGACCTGAAAGCTCAATCTAGGTCTCTGGTCCCTGTGGTTTCCCACTGACAGGGGACACACAAGAAAACCAAATCTGAGGATGTCAGGCGAGATGAGGACTGGAGACTAGGAAGGGCTTCCCTGTCCCTGAAGGGACCTCTCTCTCCTTAGAGATTTGCAAGCTGGAAACTGGTTGGTGTGTAAGGAAGGGGTTGGGCTGAAGCCAGGGCAAGAAGCCTAGCTGCTCCCACTTCCTGCACCTTGTCCTTTTTCCAGTTTTAACCTCTGACCTCTGCTGGCCTCAGCCCCCACCCCTGTCCCCAACTCCCATTGTATTCCTTGCTCTAAGCACAGTGCCTCCAAATTCACTTCTCTCTTTTGCTACCCCAAAGGGAGGGAGAGACCAGGGCAGCAGGAAGAGAGGGGAAAACAGGGAAAACCAACTGCTGAGCCAGTCCTAGGGAGGGAGGGGAAGCCCAGGGAGGAAGGAAGAAGGGGAGTGAGGAGTTGGGGGGGGTGGATTTTGGAAGAAGAGAAGGCTTTTCTTGTCCCAAGAGAGAAGGGAGCACTGTCTAAAGCAGTGGCCCAGCTGGGGGTGTGCAACCCTGAGGTCACCCACTTCAAATGGCCTCTGTGTGCGCCTCTCCCATGGAGCAGACTCGGGGTTCAAAAGTCTTCTCTCCAGCCCTATTCCATTCCTCCACCCCCATCCTAGGATGTCCCCTTGTTCAGCTCTCCCCTCTCTGCCTTGGGACTGAGACCCTTCTCCACTCACTTCTCCCTGCCATTTCTCCCTACCCCAAAGCCACCCCTTGTGCCTCTGCCGGGTTCCTGCCCAACATTCACTCCACTGGAAGGCTGTATGTGCTTTCAACTGAAAACCCTGCTCTCACAGATTCTAGGCTGTAGCCTTGGTTCAGGTCTCCCACCAGAAGGACTAGATTCGGTCACAGACTCAGAGGAAAGGAAGGGAAGAAATGGAACTGTGGGGGGAGGAGGGGGAGCTGAGGAGGTGGGGAGGAAGGACCTAGAGCCAGAAGGAATGACGAGTGAGCAGCCTGGGCACACCCTGTGAGACACACCCAGGGACAGCACTTGATTTGGGGCTGGATCCTTGGGCTTGGAAATGAATGGAAAATGAGCTCTACAAGAAAGAAGGGTGTGTGTAGAGGAGGAAGGGTGGTGGCAGGAATTCACAAGAAAGAATATAGGAGGACAAGAATACGGGGTATAAAAAAGAAAGGCCAGAGAGAACTAAGGAGCGGGCTTCTGAGAAGTCTGACTTGGCTGCTCCCTACCTGTTTGTGATGCCTTTCAGGGGACCCCTTGACAAGGCAGCTGCGGCTGAGGCGGAGGTAGCCCCCCAGAACCAAGATCTCCTCAGCAGTCGGGTACCGCTTCTTCCCAGCTCCAGGGACTGCCGCATCAGCTGTGGCTGGGGTGGCAGGAGTGGTGGGGGCTGCAGGGGGTACGGACCGCCGGGGGTTGACTGTGAAGGTGTGTCCACTGCGGCGAGGGGCCCCCACCCCTGGCCCTGCCTTCACCCCATAGAACAGACGGTTCATGAGGGGATCCCCAGGGGGCTGGGGGGCAGGTGGGGCTGGGGGTGGGGGAGACAGAGGGGCTGCTGGTGGGGGCCGGAGAGCCACTGCTTCCTCTTCCTGCCTTCTAGAGTCTCCAGTCCCAGCGTCCTCTGGTGGGAAGGGGGAGGGCACAGAGCTGTAGTTCTGCAGGGTTCTCAGAGGCCTGCCCTGAGCCCCCGCCTTCTCCTTCTCAGCCTCCCCTTCTCCAGCCTCAGTACCAAGAGGCCCCAAATACTTCTCAGCAGACTCGGGGGGGACTGGTTTCTGAGTCTGAGCCTCTGTGTCCCTGGGTGTCCATTCTCGAGCCTTGCCAGAGTTCAGGGTCCATTTCCATCCTTCTGTCAGCCTCAGGCCCCTCTCACCATCCTCCAAAGGGGTGGGCCTTTGCTCTCCTGCCTCCACTTCTCTGGAGCTGCTGTCTGGAGCCTCCCTTGTCAGGGTCTCTGACAGCTCTGTAATCTCTTCTGAGGCCAGCCTTGGAACTGGTCTCTCTTCTTTTCTCCCGCATTCCTCCAAACAGTTTTTCCTTTCTTCTTCTGAGCTCAGCCTCCACTCTGATGCCTCCAGTTGTACCAAACTCTGTTCCTGAGACTCTCCAGAGTCAGGCCTCCATTTATGCGACTCCGTCAGCCCCAACTTCTGGTTGTCAGACTCTGCAGGGCTCAGTCTACTTTCCACCACCTCTTTTCTCCTGGGGCTTTGTTCTCCAGGCTCTGCCAGACTCAGACTCCACTCTGGAGTTTCTCCGGGGCTCAGCCTCCATTTCCGGGCCTCTGACAGTCTGCAGCTCCTGTCTCCAGCCTCTCCAGGGCTCTGCCTCCAGTCCCAAGCCTCTAAAGGCCTGGGGCTCAACTCTCGGGCTCCCCCTATCCCCAGCCTCCTCTCTCTGGCCTCCCTGGGACTGAGCCGCTCTTCTTTTGACTCTCTTCCCTTGGGGCTCTGATCCCGCATCTCCCCAGGGCTCGGTCTCCGATCTCGGGCCTCCAAAGGCCCAGGCCTTCTCTCTGCAAGTAACTCTTCATTCCGCTGCTGTTGCTGCTGCTGCTGGCGCTCCTGCCGAATGAATCGGTTCTGGTGCACTGGCCCAATGGCCTCCAGGAGGACAGCCGACTCATCTGAGTCTGGAGGTCCAGCCTCTGTAGTCCCAGGTGCAGGGCTAGGTTCTCCAGGAGACAGACCAAGCTTGGCTCGGCGACGCTCCAGGAGTCCCCGCTTCCAGGCTGGCATCTGGGACAGACGCTCCCGCTCTGCCTTCTCCCGGCCACGAAGGGCTGCCTCCTCCTGCCGTCGGCGGGCTAGCAGCTGTAGCTTCCAGTCTGGGATGGTGGCCATGGTCGCGCTGAGGTGAGGGTAGGGAGTGCTGGGGCCAGAGAACAGGAAAGAGAGGCTCCAGAGGCCCAGAGGTGAAACTGGGGGTGGGGGGAGAGGAAGTAGAGGGGGTAGAGGTGGGACACAGAGATAGGCACAGGAGCTGAGGGTAAAGATAGAGGGAAAGAGTGAGAAGATGGAGGGCAAAGAAAGGACAAAACAAAAGTGAAAAAGCTGTGGGCCAAGTGGGGGTGGGGTCGTGGCCCTGAGAGGAAGAATAGAGATTCAGGGCAAAGCGGCGGGATTCAGATTTGGCAGCGCAGGGTTAATGGTATCAGAGACAGTCCCGAGGATGTGAGAGAAGAGAAGAGCGGAAAAAGTCGGAATGAGAGGAGAGAGAGGGAGACGGGGAGGTGGTGGTGGTGGGGGGTGTTAGGGTTCAGGCGAGGCTTCCCCACCGTTACCCCGAGGCGGTTAGAGTGGGAAGGGAGATCAGGGAATCCCGCCCGAGAGGGGGTGGTGGGACTTGAGGGGGTGTCGGGGCGGTGAGGAGGGGCGGGGAGTGGAGAGGTCTAGGGGAGCAGGGGAATCAGGGGGCAGAGGGTAAATGGAGCTCCGCGGGAGCCGCCGGGCGCGTCTCAGCGGTCTCAGAGGTCCCGGCTCCCCTCCCAGCTCGGCTCCGGCCACGCCTCTCCGGCCCCCCAGCCGCCACCCTGCACTCCGCCCCCAGGCAGCTCGGGGGAAATACCCTCCCTTGGGGACTTTCTGAACCCGGGTGTCTGGGCTGCCAGCACGTTCCCAGAACCCTGGCGTCCACCCCACCCGGTCCCGTCACCACCACCTGCTTCTCCCACCCGCGGAGCCCGAGACCGTGGCGTGCCGAGTACCCTCTCCACGGGTCCGCTCATCCGATCCTGCCAGTCCTATGCCCGAGTCTCTGCTCTCAGGGAGCCCTGACATAGCCGGCCATTCCCACCCAGCTCGGACCGCTCGGACAGGCAATCTCGGCACAAAGAGGAGACAGCCCAAGGTCCGGGCCGGGGACGGGAGACAGGAGACACCCCCTCCCCAAGTCTGAAGCCCCTTAGTCAACTCACAAGCCGCCGGGGCTCCCAGGGGAGGGGGTGCGGAGGAGCCTGGCGTCCGGAGGGAGGAGAGAGGAAGAGGAGGAGAGTGGGACCGAGAGAGATCCGGAGACAGGAGGGAGGGGAGGAGGAAAGAAGAGGAGGAGGGAAAGAGGGGAGTCGAGGAGGAGGGACCGAGACAGAGACCTGGGGGCCGGGCGGGGGGCGGCAACCGCTTTGTCTGAGGACAATGCGGAGAGGGAAGGGGGCGCGGGCGGGGCCCGAGGGGCGGGGCCTCGCTCCAGAGACCTCGCGTGGGACTAGGCTCGCGGACTCTTTTCCCGCCGCAATCCCTGACCCTGAATTTCTGTCCCCATGGACCACGCCCCGCTCCCTCTCGGTAGCCCCGGAGAACCCAGGTGTCCAGACCCTCGCCCCGAGCTCGCCGACCCAAGGCAGCCGCCCGTGACTCAGGCCCCTCGAGGGACTTGGAGAGGAAGCAGCAGCTGCTACAGTCGGGCCCGCCCTTCCCATCTCCTGCTGCTCCTCCCCACGCTTTTGCCTCCCCTGGCCGGCCTTTGTTACTGCGGGGTCCAGGGCCGCCACCAGGCTGTGGTGGGCCCGTGGGGAGCGGGACGGCAGTAGAGGTACTCAGAAGCCAACAGCTATGGGAACTGGATCCCACACCAGAGCTGCTGTCCCACTCTTTGGCTTCAACCTGTCTCCCTTGGGTTCCCTGCTCTGCAGCGAGGGAAACTGGGGGATTTGGAAGAAGGGGGACTGGGCCTCTCTGGGGAAGTGGGGTTGGGCCTAACGGCAGCGGTCGCCAGAGGGCGCGGTGGCTGCCCAGACTCCAGTTTGATGTGCCCGGCTCCGCTTGCCCTCCTTCCCAAAGTCAGCCCTCTAGCTAGAGAAACACCGATAGACTGCATACCATATGTAGAAAAAAACAGGTTGAATTTTATTTTTCTGCTGCGCGTGTTCCTCGGGAGAGCAGAGAGCTCTTAGTCACCCAAAATGAAAAGCAGGAGGATCCTTTCAACTAGGTTAGAGGACAGAGCCTAGGGCCAGGGCCTAAGGGACCGGCAAGGCTAGTCAGGGGGCTGGCACTTGGAGCCTGGAAGGGCAGGCATTATCAAACCTGCAGACCCTGGTCCCACTCCTAGAAGGGGAAGCCAGAGGAGAAGGGGATCCCTGAGGTGCAGAAGGGAGTAACAGTGGGAGGGAAGTGGTCAGGCCCTCCCTTCTTCCTTATGAGGAGGTTCTTAAGGTGTGTGTGTTGCGGGGGGGGGGGGTGTCAAGCCCTAAAGTGTGAGGAGACAGGTAAGTTCCCCATCCCCTCTTCCAGGCTGGTGAGAAGTAGATCTTGGAGTCCAGTGGTTGAAACTCAGAATTTAGGTTATGGAGCTGGGCCCAAGGAGTGGAAGCTCAAACAGGGGAAGGGACAGCCCCTTCAGTCCATGAATTTGGGTTTCTGGTCTGAAGCAGCCAGGGCCTGGATGTTAAAGGAGAGAAAGTGCCAGGCTTGGAACCAGGTTAGCTCCTCACTCGGCCTCACCTTCCTGGGGCCGGGAGAGCAGGTGGAGTTTTCTTTGTAACTGGGCCCGGAGGTAGCGGAGGTCTTGCTGGTCAAGTCCATGAGCCAGGCCCAGATAGAGGGTAAGGAGGAGGGCAAGGAGGAGGCGGTCAGTGCCCAGGGTGGGTACCACCCACAGCACCGTCAGCAGTTCCACACACACTGGGTGGCGCAAATGGGAGAAGAGTCTTAGAGCCCGGGGAGACTTCAGGGCCAGAGGCTCACCAAGCCCCAGCACATGGTAGTACACCTAGGAGGGAGAACAGCTTAGAAATGGGATCAAGCCCCTTTTGCAACTTAGCGACCTCTTTCCTCCCCTTCCAGGAAACTTCCCCTTCTGTAACTCAGGCCCAAGGACCACCCTCCTGAGACCAGGACCCCTGATCCTCATCTCTGGTTCATGAACCTTCCCCAGTCCCAGTAGGCCCAATGGTTTCAGCCTTTGACCGAACGCTGAGGGGAGACTGTCTTATAAGAAAGGTAAGTAGGTAAGGGAGTTGAAAGAAGAGGAAGGTGGAAGAGCATAGGAGAAGGAGGAGGGAAATCCTTGGAAGGGAAAAGGCATTCTGGAAGGAATCCTAGGTCTCAGGTAGGAATCTGGGAGCCTCACCTGTTTGAGGCCCATGAGCTCGGCGTAGTCAAAGACGAGAAGGATGCTGAAGATGAGGAGCCAGGATATGACGTGGAGCACAAAGCAGAGTAGGGGCACCCAGGTGGCCCATGGTTCAGCCCGAGCCTCCCACAACACAGGGCCTCTGGGTACAGGTTCCCAGTACCGCATCACCAACTGGGGAAGGATGTGGGGCTGGGTATCTCAGCAGCCTACCCTTGAAAGACCTAGACCCAGAGGCTGCCCCCCACCCCAGGCTGGCCTGCAGCTCTCCCCACCTCTACCATGAACATCACAAACAGTCAGAACATAGGGGGTCCTAGGTGGGGTCCCAAGGATGTAAGGATGACCTATATCTACCCTGAGGGCTTGCAGACCGGATGGGGGTAACCAGATAGGTACATAAAGTACCAAGCACTCACTGAGAAGACAAGTGAATGCTAACTGGGAAGTCTTCTCTTGAGACCTAGGGAAGAGGTTTCGAAGAAAGGGTAGCACTGAAAGAGATGTTACCAAGGGGAATCTCAAGCAGAACAACATGAACAAGGTTGCAAAGGTGAGAATGCACATATCTGCTTGGGGAATGAGTAATGGTACACCATTCTTGATAAGGAGAATATGTACTGTGGAGGAATGAAAGCTGAGATTAGAGTCCTCAACACCCTCAGTTCTCTTCCTAAACCCACATTTTCAGAAGGCCCTTTGCCGCTCCAGTCTAGGACACCCTTCTCACAGACAGTTTCTCCTGGGACTCAGTGGCCAAGGCTTCATACCTGCAAGGCCAGGGCAGTGCATGCGACATACAGTGACCTCTGAAGGACCCCGAAATATCGAGACATCCACGCCTTCACTGTCTCAGTTGCCATGAGGCTGTGCTGCCCCACAAAAAGTAGGAGGAGACCCAGATCCCAAGCCAGGGGGACAAGGATACTGCGGTCCCGCACGGCAGCCAGCCATCCCTGGCGGGCATCTAGGGGAAGTTGAAGAAAGGGACAAAAGATCAAGAGGGTTATGGGAAACATCCCCTATCCTACTCTCTTTTTGGGGCCCCAGGCCATTTCCCCTTAATGCTTCAAGAGTCTTAATGCTTCCTCTCCAGGCTTTGCCCACCTTTTCCATTCCCTGCTTCTTCCCTTTTCTCCAGGCCTCCTTTAGGGTGGGGAGGAATATGGCTGGAGAGGCGACTGATCCTCTTGTTTCCGTGGTCTAAATGCTCCCTCTTTCGAACACTCTTCCCTCCATATTCCTCTCTTTAAAAGCACTTTCTTTCCTCTGCTTATCGCCCTTTTCCTCCCCACCCAGTTCTCACTCTCTCGCCTCTCCAAACCGCTAATCCCTGAGTTCCTAATTTAGCCCTCTGGTCTGCCCTGAAGCTTCTCCAGCTTTTGCGGTTCTAGTTCCCTCTCCCGGACTTCCCCTGTCATTTGTCTCCAAGCCCCGCCCTCCCTCCCTCTCGTCCGGCTCCACCTCCATCCCCAGAGCTCATCCTTGATCCCTCCCGCTCACCCGGACCACCAGGCTCCGGGATCCCTCCAAGAAGTGGCCGAAGAGAGGTAAAGCGCACGAACTCCACTCCGGTGCCAAAGGCCAGGATGAAAGAGGCGAGGGCAGCAGGGATCAGGAGCAGAGCTGGGGCCATGGCGACACACGGAGGGGTGGGGAAGGGGGCGGGCTTGGGATTCCCGCGGCCGCAGGCTCCGCCCCTCTCCCCGCCCCTCGGGTCCCGCCCAGAAAGGCGGGGCTCCTTCGCTCAAATGCCGGGGCTCGGGTCAGTGGCGCGCCCCTTTTTCTGCCCGCTGGGCGGGTCGCGGGGGCTTTTACCCAGACCGCAGTCTCTGCGTCACAGAAGGGAAAGTTAGAATTCCGAGTGACAAATGGAAAGGGCAGCGGCTCTATAGCCCTTCGTGTGGGTTGAATCGTAGCTCGGCTAGTTGTCTCAGCTGAAATGAAGACAGTTCCTCTCTTTCAGGGTTCTTGTAGAAACCGAGAATTATGACCCCCTTTTTCTGTAACCTTAGCCAGAAAACCTAGCCGGAGTCAGAGGTTACAAAGCCTCAGTTAACACTTCAATCATAAACGGCGACAGAACGGAAGACTGTTGACCCAGACTGAGAACCTAAAGCTCTGAATCACCTATTACATCTTGTTAAAGAGTTAGTGACTATTATACCATAATGTTTATTCTGTAACTTGTTCACTCCACTTGCCAAGGACAGAAAACTTCTCTGTAACACTTACAGATTATTTCTAATAATGCCAAAGGCTGTTATTTGCAATCATGAGAGTAACAATGTTAAAATATTTGTGATAGAAAATTGTATTTGTTGTGAACTTTGTAGGTTAATTTTACCCAAGCCTGTGATAATTAACTATCTATGACTTCACTCTGCAAGCTTATTAGTCTGACCCCACTTACTAGTGAGAAATCGCTAAGATCTTTTGTCTGAACATATTTTTCCTTCAGACCTGTTTGTAATACCTACAGACTAATACTTCTGAAAAGCAAAGTAAAAGAAAGGTTTTCCTCCATCAGAATTTTTTTTTAAAGGTTTTATTTATTTATTTGACAGATCACAAGTAGGCAGAGAGGCAGGCAGAGAGAGAGAGAGAGAAGGAAGCAGGCTCCCTGCTGAGCAGAGAGCCCAATGCTGGGCTTGATCCCAGGATCCAGAGATCATGACCTGAGCTCAAGGCAGAGGCTTTAACCCACTGAGCCACCCAGGTGCCCCTCCTCCATCAGAATTAAAGATCATGTTGTTAAGGACCTAGTCACAGTGGCTATGACCATAGCAGGGAACTTAGACATCATTAAGTGAAATCCTTTGGCTTACAGACAGAA